TAAATTAAAAACGAATATTCAAAGTTTTATTAAATTAGAAAAAATCGATGACGTAAATTAAAATCGGATGACGTAATACGATTCAAAATTCTGTTTTTTGTTTTAAATAAACGATTTATTAATTTATTTACATAATAATTTAGATTCATGAAGTTAATATAGTTTAAAATTTAATAATAAATTTAAAAATTTGTTTGTTTTAAACAATAGGCTTTGCGTATGTAACAAAATTATCGTTAGCGTAGTCTCGTATTAGATATGAACGTACAGTACTAAACTTTTTTTATTTTAAAAACAAATAATTTGATTAATTATTGGAAATGCTTTATATAATTTTTTCGGATGAAATAAAGTTATAAGAATATTATAAATAAATTTTTAAAGTTTTTTTTTATTAAGTTTAAATGATATAATAAATTAAATTTTAAAATCGGAAAACAAATGCAATATTTCTCGATGACAACGCAAAAACAAATTTATTATATACAGTACTTAAGATGTTTAAATAAATTATTTATGCAAGAATAAATATTGGATTTAATTATAAAATTTGAATCAAAATGATAAATTTAAATATTTAAAATATAGTATTAATGAAAATATATTGTGACGTAATGTTCAATATTATTTAAGAAAAATAGAATGTAGTTTTTCGATTATTATTATTATTATTTGAAAATATAATAATTTTTTTAAAAAATAAACATTTTCTACGGCGATTTTGTTTAATATTAGCATAAAAAAATACTTTATTCGAAAATAACTGGTTTTAAGTAGAATTAAATTGTGAAAAAAAAGGCAGACGATAATGTAAAACTCGTTATTTCTCGCATTTAGCGAGATATTTCGAAGGACTTTTTTTAATTTTTAAATTAAAAAAATTTTTTTTTGAAATGACAAAATATTTTAATTTAATGGTTTGTACGCAATGATATTAAAACTTTAATTAGTTAAAATAATAGATTAAAATAGTATAAAAACCAGACGACATTTTATAAATCTCGCGTTTTATACGAGAACGGCATCGAGATTTTAGGTAATTTTTCTTTCCGTGTAAGTAATTGAATTATTTTATAATTATTATTATTGAAGAATGTATAAAGATTTATCTTTTACAAAATAATCGCAAATTAAGGTTTTTTCATTAATATAAGACACGTAATAAGATGAATATCTTTTGACGTTTATCAAAAAAGATGTTTTTCTTTTCCTTTGAAATGAAAACATCATCAATCACTTTTTCTAATCCATAATCTTATAGATCCTTAAACATTTCAAACTTTTTATCACAGATTATGCATTTTAATCAATAAAAACTTTTATAAAATTAAATATGTATATATATATATGTGTGTGTGTGTGTGTGTGTCACACACGTTTAAAGATATTTTTACATATGTATACAGCCTATAGTGTGTACACACACACACACACACACACCTACTTCCAGAACTCTCAACCTGTAATTGGAATTTTGAAAAGTATCACGACCAAAAAAAGCTGACAGTCAAAATTTTAATAGAAATATAGTTTTGACAATTTTGATGGGATTCTCTAGTGATGGCTAAATTCTAGGCAAATATATTGTTAAATGTGATTATCGCTTCTGTACAGAAATTATAATTTTATTTTATTCCACCTATTTTGTAATTTTAATCACAAAAAGCACTAATACACTAGTGTAAAACAGCGATTTCCAAATATAGGGTCGCCATGCAAATCGAGTTAGTTACCAATTACATTTTTGCATCAACATTATTCCTCTACTTACCAACTGTTTAAAAATATAGACAATACAGGATTGATGGCCAATCAAAACGAGCAATTATTTATTGTAACGTCGTCAGAATGCTGGGCTGCAATTTTTTATCATATTTTTTAAAATTTATTTAATTTAAAATATAGGCCATGATTTTAATTGTGCCTTGCTCCTGTACATCGCACTTTTCCTATTAACAACAGAATAATGCCGGTCATATATGTAACTCTGTTTAGGGAAAAATTTTTGAATTGAAATAATGTGACTTCCTGTGTAAAGCGGAAGTTCGTATATAGTTAATAGGGGGGACCTAATCTTACCATATCTGATCAAGATTTTCATCTATCTAACTCCGTTCTCGAGATTAATGAAGGACTGACAGACGGACGACAGTGGAAATTTATGTCTACAGTTTTTTCAAATTGCAGCCCAATAAGCAAAAACAAGTTAGTAGATGAGTTTATTAACAATGTCATTATAATACATAAAAGCATTAATTTAATTATAGGAAAAAATGTTACAGAATTTTTAAGGTATAGATTTCCACATAAGGAACTGAATGGTGAGCATCTATTATATATATTTTGTATAATTTATAACGAAACTTTTGCATGTTTCAAGCTCTTACGGCCACATTCACAACCGAGGATTAAGAAGTAGAGTTAGAAGTTAACCAATAAGTGTTCACGTACTTAAAATAAAGTGAATTGTAATTCTAACCCCAGCTCTGATCCTTGGTTTTGAATACGGCCCTTAAACATTTTAAAACAAATAATTCAATGTACAACGAAAAAGCTATTGTAATTTTCGAAATAAATCGCCCAATGTCTCAAAAATTTTGAAAAAATTTTTATTATTAAAACAAAATACAATTGTACCTCGTACTTCGAACGACTCTAACTTCGAACATTTCAGAGTTCGAACGCTAAATTCGAAAAAATTTACAAGTACATGCGGAATGAAAATTGCACTCGAAGAGTAAAATAAGCTTCTGAACAAAGGATATAATCTCAAATTAGTAATAATGTGTTGATATTCACAACTGTTATAATTAAATCACCCATATATGTTAGTCTAGTGATGTGCCGGATATCCGTATCCGTATCCGCGGATATCTGAGGGAAAAAAAAAAATCCGTATCCCTATCCGTTACTTTTTAGCGGATCTTTAACAGATCTTTTATCTTAATGAATTTCATTACTTATATGAAATTTTATAGATAGGTAGCAATAAAATACTAATAACTTCAATTCAAATCACTTTTTATTTCTTAAAATCACATATTTGGCACATTCATATTGCAAAAATTTTATTATGCAAAAATCATTTACTATCGTAAAATATTTCCATATTACACTACTAAACTTTTTTGTCGGCGTTGTTTTTATTTTAATTTAACTCAACACTCTCCAAAAACACAAACGTAATATGTGCTATCCCGTGTCACACTAAACCAGTTTTTCTCAATGGGGGCGATATCGCCCCCATGTGGGCGTTTTTCCATGTTGAGGGGGCGATTTGTAGCAATTTATATTTGGGGGGCGAAAAACATTTTTCTGGGCGATATAGTAAAACATTATACTAAGAATAATTAGATATTTTATTCGTTATATCGTATAATAATTAAACAAATAACATTATACTAGTCACTAGTCTATTCAATTCAGTACGAATTTGGCGTTAGCCTTGGCCCTCGGCATCGGAATTTTGAAGTGAAGGGGGCGATACTACGTAACGGTTTTATTGAAGGGGGCGATACTACATTAAAGGGGGCGACGATTCGTTAGGGGTTGAGAAACACTGCACTAAACTATAAACAAAAACACGAGCAGTGCAAGTCAAAACACGTCCCGTTATCAACACAAAGCGTCAACTATCGGTCCAAGGTCACACGCACCGGCGCCGACTGAGTACGAAAGTTACATTGAGATCCGTATCCGTATCCGCGGATCTAGACACTAATGATCCGTATCTGTATCCGTATCCGCGGATATACATTTTTAACGATCCGGCACATAACTATATGTTACGTAACGACAACTTAAAAACATGCAAAAACTTTGTTCAACCCAACATCACCTTTACTTATTAATCATGGCATCCGAGAAGTGCGTGGAAGCAACGAAGTTTAACTATTAAGAGGAAGGCTTGAAAAAGGCCTTTCTCTTAATAGATGAAACTAAGATGATGAAAAAGGAACTTCTCGCAAAGCATGAAAGCGGTACACATGTGGTGAACATGGCGGCCATGTTTAAGATGCCGAACTCGACTGTGTGCAATCAGTAAATGTAATTTTCATTTTATTAATACATTATTTACGTATTTTATTTATTGTTTTCGTGTTTGAATTTATTATTAGGCATTTAATTGTGTTATTTTTTTTACCTTAAATTATGTGTATTTGGCGTTTTAAGTTTATCGAAAGGAATATTGTTTAGGGTCTGGGAATGGATTAATTCTCATTCCATTATTTCTAATAGAAAAATTGCTTCAGACGGCCTTTTGGAATGAATTAAATTCGAAGTACGAGGCACTACTATATAATACGAAACAACGCTTTTTTACTCTTTTCATCCTGCTCATCAAGGCCGCGGGATAAACCTGGCTGCAGGTACGGCCAGGCTCATAATGGGGCAGCTGAGTCGTGAAAAACGGGGCCGGACATATCTGGACGGACCACCCCAAAAATTCTTGGGGTTTTTCGACCCGTCCGGATCGATCCCGTGTCTCCCAAAGCGGTAGGCTGACAACTTAATTGCTCGACTATCCAGACATCCGAAACGACACTTTTAAAGATTGATAATTTGAAGCATTGACGAAAAAAGCAGATACATAACGAAGATAGTGGACATGTCGACAGTATCCTCAAAAACTAATTGTCCGCGCAAAAACTGGGCAGTTGAGAACTCTGATACTTGTATATTTATATATGTATCTATTATCTATGTGTTAATACATATGTGTATTCAGAAGACAGCGAGAGCATATAATCCTCCTTAACCAAAAATTAAAAAAGAATATATAAATAAATAAAACTTGTTACATTTTTGTTGAATATATTATATATTCAACAAAAATATAACAAAAAGAAAACCACTCATTCTTTCTGAAATGAAAAGATTTATCTACAAAAATTCAATTCATGCACAAATTATTCCCGAAGCCTCTTTACGATGATAGTTAGATACGCCAATGTTTATATAAACAAACATATACATTTATTATAACATGCCATACTCACCATTGAAAGTTTTAACTTCTAATGTAATACAATATTTCATATCTGTACCATTACAAGGAATTGAAGGCGGAGGATTGTTGATGCAATTACTATCCACTTCAGACAGACATTGCACACATTCTATGGTTAGAACTAGATGAAAAGTAATAAAATTTGACACAACAAATACTATCCAAAATTAAATGTCAAGTGTAAAAATTATACTTCGAAAAGAACTTACTAAAAAATAACTTTGAAGAAATAAATTTAACAATATTTAACACATTTTTGCACTGTATTTTATATATCGTTATATGTGAATAATAAATGAAGTCATTCCTAGATATTTTATCAAAGACGAAGAAATGTATTTTGAATGTTTANCTGACATTTTAAAACTGAAAATTCTCTTAGAATAAAAGAAAGCAAAACAAAAACACTTACATTTATTTATAAATTTACACTTTTATGATTTTATTTACTTACTTTTACTTCCAAACAAATATATAAAGTAGGGATTTTCTAGAATAATAAAGTTGCAGATTTCCGTTTTCTTTAAATTTTTATATAATTCTTTTCAAACTAATCTTTCTACCAAATGTCACTACTTTGATTTATAAATATTATTTCTCAATGTCAGAATGTAAAGTCGAATGAAAAATCACGTAATTTTTTAAATACAAATTGCTAAAATTAGAGAATACTAATCAGTTTTTAAAACCAATTAAATGTTTTAAACTAAAACTTGAAAATTTCCAATTAAATATCAAGGAAAATCTTAATTAAATGTTGCATTTTACTTAGATTTAGATTCATTTTACATTTGAAAAGTTTTCTGATACAGTAAAACCTTTGTGAGCCGGACTCGTACGGTACAAAATATTTTTTCCGTTCACACAGGTTTCTGTTTAGAGTGGGTTTTACTGTATTACTTGAAATTTTTCATTGTGGCTTCGAAGTGGCATAACCTCTATAACGAACAGGAATAATAAGACTTCAAGGAGTATCAGTAAAATTTTTAAATTTGAATCCAAATTTTCAGAGAGATATCAGATGAATGCCAAAGACAAAAAGCTAAAATTAAGTTTGAATCTAGATTTAGTAATCTAAAGACTTAAATTACTTTATTACTAAAACATTCGCTAAATCTACTTAACTGTGATTTAATTACTTCAGTTATTTCTAATAAAATAGCAATCAAAGTAATAGAAAGGCTCCGGGTTTGAATCCTGTCTGACTCTTAAGATTTTAACGAACAATTTTGGCTGTCGCATCACTCATTATCCCTTAATTAATAATCGTATTGGCCAACCTCACAAAGAGTCAGGCATTCTAATTATCAAATAGTTTCTGAGTATATAATATACGACATATTCGCATAGCCCGTTAGTAGAGTGGTCTTGATGCTATACACGAGATATTATCGTAGGCTTTAGCATGTGTTTTCTCATACTATGTATAATAATTTTATTACACAAAGTATAGCATAAACTACATTATGACTTTAATGATTTACCTATTTCAATCCTATTAAAATACGAGTGAAATGGTGTGTCCACTCTTCAGCCATGCCGAGCAACCCCATTGCGGGCCGGACCCATCCGTAATTTGCATAGTTGGCTTGCATCAAGTCTAAATTAGTAATTCCGGTTCCTTACGTTAACTAATCAATCAGTTTTTCTAAACAATATATGAATTTGATAGTCCCTGCATTGATGAGCAAACTGAGCAACAATCGGGAGCATTATTTACCATTTATCAAATTTAACTTAGTTTATAGCTATTAATTTTAAATTACGGAAATAATTTATTCGAACATGCATTAAGTTTGTTTACGAAGACTTTCACAATATTTATTACTTTGTAACACGCTACAAATATATAGAAATCAAATTTTATGATACGAGTTGCATTGAATGAAGTCCGTTTTAAGTTTAAAAATTAAAAAAAAAATTATAAAATAACATCGCATGAAATTTTTATAAATCAGAAGTTTATTTTTTAAAGAAAGAATTAAATTATAGATTTTGAGATGGAAAAAAATGTATAAGTGAACGTAGAAGAATACTTTATACTTTTCTATGAAAGTAAACACAAACCTTATCTGAAAAATGTCTTTGAGTGTGACAATTTTGTTTTTTATATTTCGACTTGTTACATACCCTTAAGCAATTTATATTACTGTGGGTAGTCGGAGATAGGACGAGGTCGTACCTCTTTCTGTCGGAAACAGTTTGGTGAAAACTGCCCACTTTGTCAGTGGATGGCTTTTTACGTTTTACGATCCCGAGCAGTCGGGATTCTTTTTGTCAGGTCGGGTGGAGGAGGTGAGAAGGGTCGTCAGTAAGGCGCAGGCAACAAACGAGCAAAGGACACCATTTAACAAGAAAATCAAAGATTTATTATATAACAAATGGACAATTATGAACATCGAATGTCTATCGAGATTTTTTTCTAACTTCCGGGTACAAGGAAGAGGACCGAGAGAGAGTTTACACGAGTTATTATCATATCTCTTTATTATTTCCACGGAAGTTCGACTGTCCCTTTCTTGATCGAGGCACAAATTTATAAGGGTCGCGACTAACGTTCGTAGCGCGCACTTAATAAAGGAAGTTCAATGATATGGCTCCTCAGTATAGTCCGGCTTGTCACTGGTCAGCAGTTGGTGAAAAACTCCCCCGAAGAGGGGTTAAAGCGGGCTTATATAGATTCGTCTTGGAAAAATACATCATTGACTGTTGTTAGAAGTAAAAGTTACTTTTGCAGGGGTGGAAGTTGAAAGGTGTTCCCGGGACCATAATAAAATAATGAACGTTAATCGGACGTTAATTGTAAACTTTAAGTCTTGTAGTGTGAGAATGACAATGTTTTGATGGGTGAATGTTTACATTCAAAAAGAGGATTATAACTTTCTATAGTTGTTGAGGAGACAATTCGATCTCCTGGCGATGTTGTTTTAACGGTTGAGTGACGAATTTAGTTAAAATATGTCGAAAGTTTATGAGAGTAGGGAAAAAATTGGTTTACACACAGCTGGGATCTCAAATCACTAAAGAAAATTAACTTTTTACATATTATTCAGTTGTAAAATCTAATTACCTAAATAAAATTATTAAAAATTAAAATAAATAATGATTAGTGTCTCATAATATTATTATAATTGTACAGTAGAGCCCGGTTTTACGAGCGCTCGTTTTATGATAATCGCGTATAAATATTCTGTTATGACTGTATAGAAGGCCTTATGTCAAGTTAACTATCTGTGAGTAATGTTAAGTAGTTAAAATTTCCTTTTCGAAAATATAACTAATTTATGATATTACCTTTATGGAAAATAGGACGAGACTCACTTTACGACGGATTTCCGGGAAACAATTACGCTGTAAAACGGCAACTGGTATACATAATAATACTGCAGTTAAATTAAAATAACTCAAATTAAGCATATAATCGCGAATTAATTGCATTAAAACGCATTAAATAAAATGTATAAAATACGAATTTAAAAAAATTTAATGTAAGATTTTAAGAATTTACAAATAAATAAACGAAATTTTTAATGTAATAAATAGTTAGCGAATAATATATTCGTATTTATTTAAATATTTCAAGTAATTTGTAAACAATAATTTTTAAAAAATGATATAAAAAATAGAACATTAAATATTATATTGGCGCCATCTATTGGCTAGAATTTTTATTCTTTTGCCATATTTGGAGAATTTAACTTCTCTAAAATTAATTATAAAATTAAAAAAAAAGTATAACATGTAAAAAATAAATAAATTTTATATTTATTGTATTAAGTAGTTATATAACCTAAAATTTGTAATCTGCAATTTCGAAAAAAATTCATAAAATTATTTCTTTATTATAAGGAAGAGGGAAGCATGGTATATTTTGAAAAATTAAATTATAAATTTATAATGATTTCTAGTTGAATTTTATCCGGGAAGATAAAAATTGACGTTTGAATTTTCTCTCTTTTAGAATTCAATACTCTTTGACAACGTACTAACAAGTTCCTTTTAAAGCTAAATACGTTTTACATTCTTGTATTAAATAAACGGGATTTTATGTATATATAAATTCATATAATTATGAAATACAAATGTGAAATGCCACATATGAAAAATTTACCAACAATAATTTAAAAGAAATCACATTATTAATTTTAACCTTTTTAAAAATGGCTAATTATTAATAAAAATATTATAAATATAATTTTTTTTTCAATTTAAATGGCTATTCTAAATTAAAAACGAATATTCAAAGTTTTATTAAATTAGAAAAAATCGATGACGTAAATTAAAATCGGATGACGTAATACGATTCAAAATTCTGTTTTTTGTTTTAAATAAACGATTTATTAATTTATTTACATAATAATTTAGATTCATGAAGTTAATATAGTTTAAAATTTAATAATAAATTTAAAAATTTGTTTGTTTTAAACAATAGGCTTTGCGTATGTAACAAAATTATCGTTAGCGTAGTCTCGTATTAGATATGAACGTACAGTACTAAACTTTTTTTATTTTAAAAACAAATAATTTGATTAATTATTGGAAATGCTTTATATAATTTTTTCGGATGAAATAAAGTTATAAGAATATTATAAATAAATTTTTAAAGTTTTTTTTTATTAAGTTTAAATGATATAATAAATTAAATTTTAAAATCGGAAAACAAATGCAATATTTCTCGATGACAACGCAAAAACAAATTTATTATATACAGTACTTAAGATGTTTAAATAAATTATTTATGCAAGAATAAATATTGGATTTAATTATAAAATTTGAATCAAAATGATAAATTTAAATATTTAAAATATAGTATTAATGAAAATATATTGTGACGTAATGTTCAATATTATTTAAGAAAAATAGAATGTAGTTTTTCGATTATTATTATTATTATTTGAAAATATAATAATTTTTTTAAAAAATAAACATTTTCTACGGCGATTTTGTTTAATATTAGCATAAAAAAATACTTTATTCGAAAATAACTGGTTTTAAGTAGAATTAAATTGTGAAAAAAAAGGCAGACGATAATGTAAAACTCGTTATTTCTCGCATTTAGCGAGATATTTCGAAGGACTTTTTTTAATTTTTAAATTAAAAAAAATTTTTTTTGAAATGACAAAATATTTTAATTTAATGGTTTGTACGCAATGATATTAAAACTTTAATTAGTTAAAATAATAGATTAAAATAGTATAAAAACCAGACGACATTTTATAAATCTCGCGTTTTATACGAGAACGGCATCGAGATTTTAGGTAATTTTTCTTTCCGTGTAAGTAATTGAATTATTTTATAATTATTATTATTGAAGAATGTATAAAGATTTATCTTTTACAAAATAATCGCAAATTAAGGTTTTTTCATTAATATAAGACACGTAATAAGATGAATATCTTTTGACGTTTATCAAAAAAGATGTTTTTCTTTTCCTTTGAAATGAAAACATCATCAATCACTTTTTCTAATCCATAATCTTATAGATCCTTAAACATTTCAAACTTTTTATCACAGATTATGCATTTTAATCAATAAAAACTTTTATAAAATTAAATATGTATATATATATATGTGTGTGTGTGTGTGTGTGTCACACACGTTTAAAGATATTTTTACATATGTATACAGCCTATAGTGTGTACACACACACACACACACACACCTACTTCCAGAACTTTCAACCTGTAATTGGAATTTTGAAAAGTATCACGACCAAAAAAAGCTGACAGTCAAAATTTTAATAGAAATATAGTTTTGACAATTTTGATGGGATTCTCTAGTGATGGCTAAATTCTAGGCAAATATATTGTTAAATGTGATTATCGCTTCTGTACAGAAATTATAATTTTATTTTATTCCACCTATTTTGTAATTTTAATCACAAAAAGCACTAATACACTAGTGTAAAACAGCGATTTCCAAATATAGGGTCGCCATGCAAATCGAGTTAGTTACCAATTACATTTTTGCATCAACATTATTCCTCTACTTACCAACTGTTTAAAAATATAGACAATACAGGATTGATGGCCAATCAAAACGAGCAATTATTTATTGTAACGTCGTCAGAATGCTGGGCTGCAATTTTTTATCATATTTTTTAAAATTTATTTAATTTAAAATATAGGCCATGATTTTAATTGTGCCTTGCTCCTGTACATCGCACTTTTCCTATTAACAACAGAATAATGCCGGTCATATATGTAACTCTGTTTAGGGAAAAATTTTTGAATTGAAATAATGTGACTTCCTGTGTAAAGCGGAAGTTCGTATATAGTTAATAGGGGGGACCTAATCTTACCATATCTGATCAAGATTTTCATCTATCTAACTCCGTTCTCGAGATTAATGAAGGACTGACAGACGGACGACAGTGGAAATTTATGTCTACAGTTTTTTCAAATTGCAGCCCAATAAGCAAAAACAAGTTAGTAGATGAGTTTATTAACAATGTCATTATAATACATAAAAGCATTAATTTAATTATAGGAAAAAATGTTACAGAATTTTTAAGGTATAGATTTCCACATAAGGAACTGAATGGTGAGCATCTATTATATATATTTTGTATAATTTATAACGAAACTTTTGCATGTTTCAAGCTCTTACGGCCACATTCACAACCGAGGATTAAGAAGTAGAGTTAGAAGTTAACCAATAAGTGTTCACGTACTTAAAATAAAGTGAATTGTAATTCTAACCCCAGCTCTGATCCTTGGTTTTGAATACGGCCCTTAAACATTTTAAAACAAATAATTCAATGTACAACGAAAAAGCTATTGTAATTTTCGAAATAAATCGCCCAATGTCTCAAAAATTTTGAAAAAATTTTTATTATTAAAACAAAATACAATTGTACCTCGTACTTCGAACGACTCTAACTTCGAACATTTCAGAGTTCGAACGCTAAATTCGAAAAAATTCGCTTCGGAGTTCGAAGTACATGCGGAATGAAAATTGCACTCGAAGAGTAAAATAAGCTTCTGAACAAAGGATATAATCTCAAATTAGTAATAATGTGTTGATATTCACAACTGTTATAATTAAATCACCCATATATGTTAGTCTAGTGATGTGCCGGATATCCGTATCCGTATCCGCGGATATCTGAGGGAAAAAAAAAATCCGTATCCCTATCCGTTACTTTTTAGCGGATCTTTAACAGATCTTTTATCTTAATGAATTTCATTACTTATATGAAATTTTATAGATAGGTAGCAATAAAATACTAATAACTTCAATTCAAATCACTTTTTATTTCTTAAAATCACATATTTGGCACATTCATATTGCAAAAATTTTATTATGCAAAAATCATTTACTATCGTAAAATATTTCCATATTACACTACTAAACTTTTTTGTCGGCGTTGTTTTTATTTTAATTTAACTCAACACTCTCCAAAAACACAAACGTAATATGTGCTATCCCGTGTCACACTAAACCAGTTTTTCTCAATGGGGGCGATATCGCCCCCATGTGGGCGTTTTTCCATGTTGAGGGGGCGATTTGTAGCAATTTATATTTGGGGGGCGAAAAACAATTTTCTGGGCGATATAGTAAAACATTATACTAAGAATAATTAGATATTTTATTCGTTATATCGTATAATAATTAAACAAATAACATTATACTAGTCACTAGTCTATTCAATTCAGTACGAATTTGGCGTTAGCCTTGGCCCTCGGCATCGGAATTTTGAAGTGAAGGGGGCGATACTACGTAACGGTTTTATTGAAGGGGGCGATACTACATTAAAGGGGGCGACGATTCGTTAGGGGTTGAGAAACACTGCACTAAACTATAAACAAAAACACGAGCAGTGCAAGTCAAAACACGTCCCGTTATCAACACAAAGCGTCAACTATCGGTCCAAGGTCACACGCACCGGCGCCGACTGAGTACGAAAGTTACATTGAGATCCGTATCCGTATCCGCGGATCTAGACACTAATGATCCGTATCTGTATCCGTATCCGCGGATATACATTTTTAACGATCCGGCACATATGTTACGTAACGACAACTTAAAAACATGCAAAAACTTTGTTCAACCCAACATCACCTTTACTTATTAATCATGGCATCCGAGAAGTGCGTGGAAGCAACGAAGTTTAACTATTAAGAGGAAGGCTTGAAAAAGGCCTTTCTCTTAATAGATGAAACTAAGATGATGAAAAAGGAACTTCTCGCAAAGCATGAAAGCGGTACACATGTGGTGAACATGGCGGCCATGTTTAAGATGCCGAACTCGACTGTGTGCAATCAGTAAATGTAATTTTCATTTTATTAATACATTATTTACGTATTTTATTTATTGTTTTCGTGTTTGAATTTATTATTAGGCATTTAATTGTGTTATTTTTTTACCTTAAATTATGTGTATTTGGCGTTTTAAGTTTATCGAAAGGAATATTGTTTAGGGTCTGGGAATGGATTAATTCTCATTCCATTATTTCTAATAGAAAAATTGCTTCAGACGGCCTTTTGGAATGAATTAAATTCGAAGTACGAGGCACTACTATATAATACGAAACAACGCTTTTTTACTCTTTTCATCCTGCTCATCAAGGCCGCGGGATAAACCTGGCTGCAGGTACGGCCAGGCTCATAATGGGGCAGCTGAGTCGTGAAAAACGGGGCCGGACATATCTGGACGGACCACCCCAAAAATTCTTGGGGTTTTTCGACCCGTCCGGATCGATCCCGTGTCTCCCAAAGCGGTAGGCTGACAACTTAATTGCTCGACTATCCAGACATCCGAAACGACACTTTTAAAGATTGATAATTTGAAGCATTGACGAAAAAAGCAGATACATAACGAAGATAGTGGACATGTCGACAGTATCCTCAAAAACTAATTGTCCGCGCAAAAACTGGGCAGTTGAGAACTCTGATACTTGTATATTTATATATGTATCTATTATCTATGTGTTAATACATATGTGTATTCAGAAGACAGCGAGAGCATATAATCCTCCTTAACCAAAAATTAAAAAAGAATATATAAATAAATAAAACTTGTTACATTTTTGTTGAATATATTATATATTCAACAAAAATATAACAAAAAGAAAACCACTCATTCTTTCTGAAATGAAAAGATTTATCTACAAAAATTCAATTCATGCACAAATTATTCCCGAAGCCTCTTTACGATGATAGTTAGATACGCCAATGTTTATATAAACAAACATATACATTTATTATAACATGCCATACTCACCATTGAAAGTTTTAACTTCTAATGTAATACAATATTTCATATCTGTACCATTACAAGGAATTGAAGGCGGAGGATTGTTGATGCAATTACTATCCACTTCAGACAGACATTGCACACATTCTATGGTTAGAACTAGATGAAAAGTAATAAAATTTGACACAACAAATACTATCCAAAATTAAATGTCAAGTGTAAAAATTATACTTCGAAAAGAACTTACTAAAAAATAACTTTGAAGAAATAAATTTAACAATATTTAACACATTTTTGCACTGTATTTTATATATCGTTATATGTGAATAATAAATGAAGTCATTCCTAGATATTTTATCAAAGACGAAGAAATGTATTTTGAATGTTTAATCTATCAATTTAATCAATATATTAAAAAATTATAAGATTAGTTTTATTTATAAGCGATTTAGGAAACATGAGATTTTTTAAATCAATAATTAATTACTTTACTGAATAAATAAAGTAAAATAAGCTATTATTAAATAAATATTAGGATTTAAAATCAGAATTATTCTACTTTTATATAGAGAAACCATCACAAGGAATTGAAACTGGAGGAAAATCCTCCAGTTTCTATTTTCCTCCAGTTTCTTAAATGAAAATCTTAACATTGACTGTAATGGACTAAAATCATTCAAAACTTTTATCGAAACTTGTTGCTTGGAATTTTATAACTGGAACTATTTGTAAAAGTTAGATTTTTCTATTAATTACATCGTGTTTCGTTTTTCTTTAATTTATTGATTAAACTTCAGAAAGATATCAACGGTATCAATATCATTTTTTTCTTTTTTAGTTGCTGATAGAAAATATCTCAAATTCAGTATCGGCATGTGATTCAAAAGCTATTTTCTTTCATTTCCTAAGAGATTGAATGCAAGCAAATCAATAAAACTCTTCAAGAGAAATAAATCATAAAAACATAAGCTTATTTATATTTGTTTTATAAATACGTTAAAAAACACATTTATTATTTTAAATTTAAATAAAACTTTAAAAGTAAAGAAATATTTTAATTTTTAAAACAATTAACTTACTTGATGTTAAAAGTTTATTTAATAAAATATCATTCACCTGATAAAAACGAATTACTCCAAATTAAAGAGCAGATGAAAAAATTGAGACAATAACCAGACCTATAATTCATTATAATCCTATAAAATAATTATTTCGAAAATGAAAAATCTCTATACCATTTGTAAATTTGATAGATTTTACTTATTTTTATGCCCTCAGTTACGATGTTGGGTCATTCGTTCTCTGCCTTTTTCTAACGTGATTGAGTAGAGTTTGCTAGATATATTCGAAGGCATTGCCATCTGTTGAGGGAGAAAAATGAAAATGTTTATTATTATTATTATTAAAATATTATATTTAACTATACTAATATTGTTATAATTAACTTAATCAATCATTTTAAAAAGTCGTAAATAGTTTTGAACGATCATTTTCGACTTTTAACATTACGATATTTATATCAAAATTGTTAAATTATGGTTATATTAATCATAATTATTTTCAAAGTTAATAGGATTTTAATAATTTAATAACTAATGTCACAACAGTTATATTATATTATACTTTTAATAAGAAAAATCCACGGTTTAATAAGAATCTGTAAGATAAATTTTTACGTCTGAATCACTTCTAATTATCCAATTTTCTCGGTTTTCATAAATAACATCAATTTAATATTATATTTAATTTATTTGTTTTTACAACATAAAATAAATTTAAAATATATATGTAGGCCTATATTCTAAATATAAATATACATATATATGTTATACATTTTAAAAATTTGCACTTACCTTTTTAAAAATAAATAAATAAATATATATATATATATAAAGTAAAGAGTAAAAAGTAAATGTAAATTTTTAAAACGTATATCATAAATCATTTAAAATTAAGTTATATTTTAAAATTATAACTCGAATAAATTTGAAAAAAAATTAAAATATTGAATTTTTAAATTCTGTTTTAAAATTCAGTTTTTTTTTAAAAAATAACATTTTATATTTAATTATTATCTTGTGCTTATTTATAATGAAACAAAATACAAATATAAATAAGTAATTTACAAATATTGATTTTAATTATTAACTTAAAATTTTTATTTTAATTATTTTAGATGTTATTTTTAAAAAAATAAAATAAACTTTTTAGAAGAGTTGTATCTCAATAGATGGCAGCATTATATTTTAATATCTGACACTTCAGTCTTTAAACATCAAAGTAATTATACGTGTAATAATAATTTAAATAGTAGGGAGAAAAAATTAAGCTGCTTAGAACTGAATTACTTAATTTAAAATTAAAAATAGAAAATTTATGCAGATTGTTGGTTATAAATAAAGGAAAATAAATAATATTTTTCTAAAAATAAATTGGATAAATTTCCAAATAATTTTAGAGAGAATTATTTTAGTTTGATATGTCTCAATAATACAAACTATAGGCAGTTATTTTTAGATCTTGTTACAATTAATACATTTTTAAAATTATATATATGTAATATATTAAATTAAAGCAATTATTCGTCTTCTCTTAATTAATTAACATTTACTTACAGATGATTAATAAGCGGCAGTATTAAAAAATGCTCATAACATCATGATAATGATTTAAAATATAGACAGAGAGGCACGATGTTTCGATAGATCAAAATTATGATTCAAGGTAAAATTTATTATTCGTAAAGTATTAAAAAATGCTTTTATATTTTTAATTATTAAGTTAATTTTTATTATTTATTAAATATGTCGTTTTATTTTAATAAATGTTTGATTAAAAATAAGTTAAATTAAAATTCAGATGTTACTATATATCAAATATTATTATATAAATAAAACGTATTTAATTAAAGTTTTATAATTTCGATTAAAAAATGAACTTTACTAAATGTTTGATGACAGAATTGTCTGCAAACTTAATCCTGTAAATGTGATTTTTCCTTACGATATATAAGCTGTGAAGTGAAGTTTCGTTTATTTTTATCTGCAAAAACTTTTATTTCTTTGAAAAATATTAAAATATTTAAAAAAGAATACTAAAAACATAACAAATCAATTAAATAAGTTAAAAAGTTTTTTTTAAATAGAAAAGAGCATTATTCCGTTTTATCCAGTCGGACTTAAAGTCATTTATCTAAAAGAAATTCAGTTTAAAGAAACACTAAATTTAACTGTATTATCCATGACAGCTTTACCTACGCCAGGTGTGTGTGCAACCCATGGGAATAAATACATTTGGTAGTATTTTATTTAAAAAGCAAACTCGGATCTCAGATATAGCGAAGTAACAGGCGATGGACGGACAGACTCTTCAACTTAATCGTAAAATGTTTTGAGCAATAATTACCCTTATCTCGAAGACATTAATTCATTTTTATTAGAATAAATTTAAGTCAGGCATATGTAATATATAGGCGTCGGAATGGACAATCTTCCGGGTCATTGACCAAATAACAATGCTGTTTTCTTTGTTTACAGTTTATCAAGTATACATAAAATTCACGGTTAGGATAATATAGTTATTAATAAGTTGTTAAATAAGAGCAGTAGTTTAACAGCAGTTTTACAAGTGCGATAGGGATGTAGGTTATGAATAATTTTTGGCTAGAGAGGAAACCGTTACTTTAATGATTACAACAGTTGAATTATTTGTGTTTATCATTGCAGTGTCAGAATGAGGATAGCGCATATGTCATAGCACATGCGTGGTGTTCATTCCTGTGCGGCGCTGGAGTAGCAACTGAACTGGCTACTCAGTCGTCATCGCAGTGATAGTACAAACAAGACTTTTAAAAATGGTTTCTGACAATCTCAGCTCTTCGCTTTCTACAGACAGCGATATGACCAGCACCGACATGGATGACGCAGATGATCATTTAAAACTCCCCACCACATCGAACATGTAAAAATCAACAGTTAAACGTGTTCTGGTCGCCAGCTATACGGCGAACACTCCAGATATCCGAGACTATGAACTCTCATCTCGCAAGCTTAATCTATATAAAGAACGGCAGCTGAAAGCAGTGTCATGGCGGCTGGAGAAACAGAAGTCGACGTGGATGGATTCGGAACGACGACAACCCTAACTCCTCATCAAGAGTGTATGAAAGTTAGAAAATGGTGGTGCTTTTTGCTGTCAAGTATATTCACTTTCCTTGCAGGTCTGTTCATTATTCTTTTATGGAGGGCATTCGCCTTCCTCTGTTGTCGGAAGGAAAAGCCAACTCAGGCCAAACAAAAACAAGAACGTGACTTAAAAGGAGCTAATAAAACACCCGGAGAAACAGAAATCGGATTTATGACCGAAGCTAAAGATTGGGCTGGTGAATTGATCTCTGGCCAATCAACTACTGGTAGAATACTAGTAAGTGCCATTTTCCATCTTTTTTTAAATCTTCATCAAATATTAATATATTTTTTGTTTTAATATCTACCTCGATTAATAACTCGTACGGTAGCATTAGAAGGGATATCATAAAAAATAACCGGATCTATATATAATTCCTAACTGCAACAGATAGGTAGTTTGCGTGCCTAGAACTTCTGTAATCCTCTCGTTTATCATAAGAACTGTTTAATTTTTCAACACAAGGCGTAGTTTCAATTTATTTTGTAAAATATTAATATAGTATGTTTTTGAACCACTTGAAAGCGTTTGAAGAGGCTCAAAAATATACCATTTAAACGTGGAGATATAAATATTAAGTATACTGTTTATATTTTATATCCTAACGTTCATCGAATAACTTAAAAGAGTTTATTAAAAATTAAGCGTTACTAGAGACATCTCCATGCTGTAGACATTATTCAATTGTTATATGAATCTTCCTGTTACCATGACGACATACTTCTGTTTGTCTGACTTATAAGTACTTGACGTTCAACACGGAAAAAGGATTCTTATTCCATTTTTAAACTCTGATCGAGTTTATCAAGGATTTAAAAATATCGATGATACCGCATACTGCGTTTTATCTCTATTATCTGTTAAAGTACAGATTACCGCAACAGGTTATATAGTAAATCAAAATGGTCACGTTCCATTCCATTTGCTTTACTGATCCACTTAGCGACATCAGAGCCGACATGTAGATAACGTTAACCGACCATGCTCTCCATATCTTGATGAAGTAATGAAAACGGTTTATCGAGCTTGATCGAACAGCTGATCGACGTAAATGTTACGTCATAAAAGCGTAGATGATTTTATAAGATTGATTTTTTACATTTTGAATAGTTTTCCATAATGGCGGTTAGTTATTAAGCGAAAAATTAATTTGGATTCATTTATGAGTTGTAGGAGCGACAAACGATCGTCTCGACTTCTTTCAATCAATATGTACAAAAGACGGAATTCAGCTGCGATTTTCTATTCACGTGAGCATGCGACTTCGCAGTAATTTCTTCGATCGATAAAATTGGGCAATACTTTTACATAAAGGAGATGCTGCACTTCCTCCTAACAAACATTAAATAAACATCTATTTATCAAACGATCGATAATTAAATGCTACGATTATCTTGTCTAGATACTAGTTTCGCAATCGGTAATTTTAGAGTGAATTGCTTCTTTCTAATCGTTCAAAATTTGTTCTTATGATCTATCTCTTTTTATATTCAACAGTTTAAATTTAGAAAATTTCTTTTTGAACATTATCTGGAATAAAAATAGATGAACGTCTTCGGCAGATGTGCTACTTATTATGATTGATTGAAAGGTTTTGTTAATAAGTTGGGTAAATGCGTGTAACGTCGAGACACAGCTGTTATCTCTCTTAACAAGACGCATACAGATAGGATTAATATGGAAAATGATTTTATAATTATTAAATGAATATGTTTTTACACTAATCTACATTTCTTTTCAAAAACACACGCACAGTGCGGATGTTTTGGGCTGGCTATTCTAAAAAATATTAAAGGACACAGGAACAATTTTACGATATTAATACCAAAGAGAGATCATTCGGAATGCCAAATGTCATTCCCTAATGTTAAAATTTTCCTCTTTATTCTAAACACGTTAGAAGCGATAAGGAGACAAATAGAATAAATTTCTAATTATCTATTATCTTCAATAATATAGTTTCAATATTTACACAAAATTATATTAAAAAATCGAGATATGTTTCCTTTTAAAAATTCGTTGAAAACGTATCCGTTTGCAATTTAAAAATATTTATACGTAAAATTGTAATACTAAAAAATGTATAGTTTTCGTTTTATTTTTTAGTTTTACGATATTCCGGATGATTTAGGCTAATTTTTCTTTTCTATACAATCTTCTTCAAAAAATAAATAAGAAAATATCATTTTGTCAGGTAGGAAAACGATAGAATTGCGTGATACTGAAAAAGTTTTATAATACTGTATGTTGCGCTTTGTAGAAAATTTCGAATTATTTCTCCCATGACAATTTAGTTCAAAATACGGTACGGGAATAATAATTGAAGAAGCTATTTTTCGTTAATTTTGCTTCCAAAATTGCCATTACGTAAGTTTTATCGAAATTTGTTTTTTAGAAGCAAAATTTATAGGCTTATATTTTTTTTTAAAGCAAAGTGGAAAGTTTTATTTTTGGTTGCTAGTAATAGTAAATCTTAACTCGTAAAGCAGCTGGCTTTAAAACGAAGCAAAGAATATGTATGTGTATAGGCTATATATATATATATATATATGTATTGGTTATAACAAATTGTAACCCTAACATATTTCATAGTATAAAATTAGTTTTGGAATGATAAATGGATGTATCTACCTCTTACTATCCAAACTTTCGTCTGAAATGGTTCTAGAATAAAAACCCGAGATGGTCATTCACTAGGAAAAAATAGATTTATGGAACTTACTGATCAATCATGACTAAAGTCGTATTTGCAATTTATACTTGGAAAATCTGCTTTTTTTATTTCCATTCCTGACATTTACTAGATTTATTATTTTAAATCGTAGATTCATGTATGTAGATGAAATTCTAATTTTTAGAAACTTTCTAGAACATTTGCATAGTTTTGAAATTATATTTCAGCTAGATAAATTATTTGATAGTTAATTTTTGCTGAAAGTTTAATATCAATGAATAATACTGTAAAAGAAATATTTTAATTAACGCAAAACAACCACAAAGAATAATTAATATCTACAAAAAATATGCTAAAAAAATAACTTTTATCATTAAGCAGTTCAATTATTGAATTATACACGAGACATTGCAGGTAATATTTTATGCAATTTTTCTAATCAATTAGTTTGCTTGTCAGAAACAACTTGGTAGAAGTTTATTTTTTATTTTCTTTTTGTTATTGCAGACGTATCTTTTTACAAATATGTTTTCTTCGAATTTTATTCTATATGAGGAATGTGATTTCGGGTAGAAATTTGAGTGATGTATTGTAGAAGATTACCGCTCAAGTCGAACTCGTACATAATGCGACTTCAAATACTTCAAATAGGAGATTTAAATAAGACACGGATTATCTTCAATAGCACTTCTGTAAACTGACTTTTGGCCTTAACATAGATTAATATAAGACACTATGCCATTCCGTTTTATTATATACTTCAAAACTTGTACATTCTCGTGTATAATAGAGTGGTTGTTGCATATTTTCGACTAACTGTACCGAAACACTTTCGTCTTGACAGTGAAGGATTACCTAGTGATACACCTGTACCTGCTTCTTTCTCAATTCTTTTATTTACACAATCGACTCCAATTCCCTTAAGAAAGATGTCTGGTTTTTTAAAAGAAATTATTTTGATGCATCACTGATCTTTATACTAAGTAATACCGGAACATTATTTAATACAAACGAATACACCTACAAAAACCTAAAATATATGTTTAAATAAACGTAAAAAGATATATATCAATGTTTGTTATTCGAAATGTTAAATTTTATTACATCTTTTGTTCTAGTTCATCAATGATGGGAAATTTTCCAAATTTTTATCCAGAAAGTTAGTTTTCAAGGTTATTTAAATGTCAACAAAAGTTTTTCGATTTAAACAAAAATAAAAAGATTTTTATCCAAATATAAAAATGGCGCAGCAGCTATATAAAAAAAAGAAGGAGAAAACACAAAACGGACAGAAATATTTGTGGATATGGAATGTAAAGATTACATATTTTATAGCTTAAAAAACTATAAATAATCTTTCTTTTATGAACACAGAGCTTGAGTTAAATAATTTATTGTAAAGATAAATTCAGTTAAATGATATATAGATCTAGCCAACAAAAATACGAACAATATAAACTACGTTAAATAGTTCTTTCCAATAAAAATTGGCGTTTGGTAGTACTTGTGACGTAATTATCGATGTTCTCTTAGAAAGGTTGTTCGATTTATCGATCTATTCTTGATCTAAATTTTCCAGGTATTTTGTTTGAAGTAATTTGTCCTTGGTATGTTATTAAAACCATTATTAAATATTTTCTTTAATTAAAATAATTCAGTTTAAAGACCGCAAAGATGGGTGGAAACAGAGAAAAACGTGAAAACGAAATTTATAACTGCTTTTATATAGTACTTTATGCTAATTCATTAATGAAGTCTTGGAGTTTTATAGCTTTTAAACATATATCTAGGGGAAGGATCAAATATTTTATTTAAGCGACATTCTTAACATATCGAAGTGACAGAAGTTGAATATCTAAGGAGGAAAACCGAATGATTGATGGGTGCACACACCCACTTTTACATAATCCACCAACGGATGCAGAAATAAGATTGACATTTTGAATAATTCATTTGGGATAAAATATCCTCAATTTTGTTGCCTGGCTTTTTATTTTCGGATTATTAACTTATTTTTATTGAGAGAAAAAAATGAAGAGATAGTCTTCGTTTCCGATAATGTCTAGCATTATATTGTGTTAATGCTTGTTAAATGCGTTTGTTATGCATTTATTCAAATCCTATGCGATTTCCATGATTAGTGTCAATGCAGGCTAATTTACTGAATTATAATGAAGAAGAGCTATTAAAAAACACGAGATGCTCTATTTAGTTTTATGTTTGTCGATTAAATTGATTTGATTAATATTAGATTTGACATGTTAAATTTTAAATGTAATTGATGTACTTGAAGAATCTACATCATATAATTTTCGTCCGTAATTAACGTCTGTTGTATGAATTAAAAAAAAAGTAAAGTAAAATAAAAATTAGAATTAGAATTGTTCTTTAAAATTAGAATTGCTTATCACTCAAACGAAAATAATATTAAAGCAAATTGATTTTTGAATTTTGATCGATTTACTCGATATTTTTTGATTGAAATAATATCATAAAAATGTTTTCCTCTTTTTTTTTATCGATTTCTTTCTATTTTTAGGTAGTATTGGTATTCCTCCTCAGTATATCTTCATTAATAATCTACTTCATCGATGCTTCCCGGTAAGTAATGTTTTGTCTAATTACCAATGTGTAATTTTCTTTACTAACATAGGGAATCATCGCCCCATCTAAGTAATATAATCTGAAAGGCATTTATTATAGGCCTATAGATTTCATTAAAAAAGTAATCTTTCTTTATAAAATTTCGAAGCTATAAAAACAATGCATGTACTGTACAGTACATATATAGACCTATGTGTTTATATGTAATGAGAATTATTCCTACATGACGTAGCTGAGATCGATTTTAACCTTTCTTAGCATCGTCGCCGCGTATTGATTACTGGATCAGAACTCCATGTTGATCCTGACGTCATAGCTCAAAAGATATATATTTTACTTTTTTTTTTAATTTTTGAAATTAACTAAATTGAAATAAAATATAATGAATTTTTATGCAAAATTGACTATTTTATACTTGCTTTCATTGCATCAGTACCGGACATTCTACGAAAGGGTGAGTGACCTTTGTCTATGCAGTTTGGATAAATCTTTAATTTCTTAAGAGATCAGAAAGTAGTTTTTGATGATGTTAACATGTTTCTGTACTTTGTAAACGCAGGGATGGCGTCGAGATGTGTCAGTCCTGGGCAACAAACACAACACAGCAAATAGACCTTGCTCTGAATATATTTTTTATGGTGTACTTTTTTATACGTGTTAGTAGATTTGAAAACATTATTAGAATGTTGACGAAACGATTTTGTTTTCTTATATAGTTTTACTTACAGTTTATAGCTGCCAGTGACAAGTTATGGTTCATGCTGGAACTTTATTCTTTCGTCGATTATTTTACCATTCCACCGTCCTTTGTCTCCATATATCTTGACCGTACATGGATTGGTAATTTTGTGTTTTATTTATTTATTTATTACATTCTCATTATCTGAAATTACTTCATTTACGGTGTTATCTTATAAGGTTTACGGTTTCTGCGTGCTTTGCGGTTAATGTCTGTGCCCGATATCTTGCAATATCTGAACGTGCTCAAGACTAGCAGTTCTATACGCCTAGCCCAATTGGTGTCCATTGTGATCAGTGTCTGGCTGACAGCAGCGGGTATTATCCACCTAGTGAGTCTTATTATTATAATAGATATAATCGACAAAATAGTAAATCTAATAAATCTTATTCAAAAAATTTAAAATGAACAATATTAATCAGAATCTCGATTATGTTTTTAGTTAGAAAACTCAGGAGATCCACTGGATTTTGCTAATCCTCAAAGCTTAACTTACTGGGAATGTGTTTATTTCCTTATTGTCACTATGTCCACGGTAGGTTATGGTGACATTTGCTGCAAGACGACCCTCGGAAGAGCGTTCATAGTCTTCTTTATCCTTGTGGGCTTGGTAAGCAAGAATTTAATTTAACTAGAAGCATAAATTTATTTTTAAATGTAGCTATTAATGGAGAAATCATTAGTTAAGGTTTATGTGTATTAACTATATTATAAACTGAATAGAATTTATAATGATATAATCGAATAATTATAGCGGATTTTATTAGCGATGGGTTTTTATCAAAATGAATTATCTCAGAATGCTCTTTTAAGGGAGGTGATAAAAACAAACAAACAAAAAAAAGCAATTTTATCATCCTAAAACAACTTAGTGTTAGGCCTAAGTAATTTACACGAAAATTATTAATTTGGTTATTTGGTTAGTCGGTTTTAGAAGTCTTATTCAGTGAAAATTTATAATGCAAGTTTAAGGAAATATGTTAAAAATTGCAGTTTTTGAAGTCAAAAACTTCAATTCATAGTATTGTAGTAGGCCTATATTTTAGCTTGAAACGTTTTTCCTCTTGCATATTTTGTTATTTTTTAGAATTCAGAATTTTATTATAATTTATTTCTTGAATTCCTTCCCTCTTTTTCTAGTCAAGAAAGCCCTGATTATAATTGTTAGTATTGGTTTTCCCAAGTTCTGAAGCTATTAATTAATTGCTCAAAATTTTCATCAGAATTTTAGAATGTTTACTATAATTTCAGAGATTGTTCTACTTACGATAATGTTCAGAAATTGTCAACAAGGCAGTTTCGTGACATTCCACTACCGATTTTCCGTTCAGATTGCCCTTCAGACGACATTACTGCTCCGATAGGGATCGATATAGGATGTGTTGAAGTACACCTGGGTCCTTCAGTAATAAGCTAACGATCTTCCGTCGTAAATACACGTTTAATTAATACGAATAGCTGATTTAAATTGTACGTCTAAAAATTATACACTTTGAAAAAAAGAAAAATTTTTCAGTATTCTCTCGTATAAGGAAACTATCCCTATTTATAGATCTCCAAATTTAGGTTATGCTTTTTCCTGCAGAGCAGGAATAACTTATAAAAGACCATAACTGAATTTAATTCTTTAAATTGTTCTAGTAAAATGTTAACATTGAAGAAAGGGGAACAAGAAATGGACAAATGGAAATTAGACGGTTTGTTAACACTTATTAAATCGAAATATTTTTAAAATTACATTACCAGTCCTATCCTTTTATCTACCCCTTATGTTTTATTTCCTTTATATCCTGCTCGGCTAACCTGGAATGAAAGAGCCCCTTTTCACCATCTTTTATTTACTGGGCAGTTGAATTGTTTTCACCATACCAAGCATTTTAAGTATGAGAACATGCCTGATAATTCGTAAATTCATTACTAAGCTATCCTCCTTGTAGATATGTTGTTTTGTGTGTATGATTTAATCATATCCGACAATTTCTGATGCAGAAAATTTTTTTGTAGTTACAAAATAGTTTTTATCCAAACAAGAGCTTTACCGTTTTTAATAGTATAATAAAAAAGCTTGTTTCCTGCTTAGGGAATGTTAAAAATAGCTTTATAATACGTTACATAGAGAATTAAAAGAGAGAGAGAGAGAGAGAGAGAGAGAGAGAGAGAAAACAATATGCATGATTATTGTAATAGTTTTAGTAGATTTTTTGAGTATTTAAAAATTGCTTAGCCGTCTTTAAGTGATGGCTGTATGGCAGAATCCAATGATCTTTTTTTTTTCTTTTTCCCCTGCTTTTTTTCTTTATTCATTTGTAGGCCGTCTTTGCAAGTTGCATACCCGAGATCCTAGAGTTAGTTGGAACTAGACCCAAGTACGGTGGTGAATATAGAAGGGAACATGGCAAAAGGTATAGCTGTGGTCCGTACACTTTTAGCTGGTCGATGTTCAGCACGTTACGTGGGCATGTTTGTATTAATGTGATCGTGTTATCTCTTGTCACCTATCACCTCTTTCTCTGGTACTTTTTCTGTATCTTTAACCTTCCTGTTTCCCAGTCTTTCCCATTCTTTCCGGACTGGTAAGTGCACTGTCTAGTGCATAACACATTACAGAAGGGCTAAAAATTTTAATGCAAAGGGAATAAAAAAGCGTACCACATTTTCATAGGGTCGGAATATCGTCACATAGCTAGCATTGTTGTTTTAATTATTATTTTTTTTTACTTTTCACTCTGTTTACTATCTGTTGTTGTTGTTTTCTCTCTTCTTTCTGTATTGCCTGCACTTCTACACTGCATCTACGTGGCACATCTGCATTGTTGCACGTAATCTGCTAGGCCGTGTTTGCTAGCTGCATACCAGAAATCATAGACCTGATTGGTTCCCGACCTAAATATGGTGGTACCTTCAAGTCAGAAAGAGGAAGAAAGTAAGTTGAGATTTCGTATTTCAAATATTTAAAACTTAGTTGTTTCTGTACTCTTTCTCTTCCTTTCTATTTTTCCGAGTCTTGGCTTGATGTGTGCTTAAATACAGTGTCAGTTGTGTACGTGTAATGGGGCCTGCGTCGACATTAACGAACATTCGTATTTAGGCATATCGTGGTCTGTGGACATATTACGTACGAATCGGTATCCCATTTCCTGAAGGATTTCCTCCATGAAGACCGTGAGGATGTGGATGTTGAAGTGGTCTTCTTGCACAGGTGCGAATATCACTTTAACGTTTACGTAAAAAACGGCTGCTTTAACAAAATAATCTTGTCATTTTCATATTGTAGGAAGCCTCCAGATTTGGAACTCGAGGGTTTGATCAAGCGACATTTCACCACGGTAGAATTTTTTCAGGGGAGTGTGATGAATCCAATCGATCTCCAGAGAGTCAAGGTACTTTTTAATACTACTTCCGCAACACATAGAAAGATTGCACAGTAAAAATTTAATAATAGCTCGGAGGACACGGTAGAATGATGGTGATATATATATATTGCTATAAACTTTGTGATATTAATAAAATTCGTTTTAGACCGAGGGAATTATTTATTTAAAAAATAAAATATATATATGGTGTTTACAATAACTTGGATTATTCATTTGTTTAAAGTTTTTCATAATTAGCTAAAAGTTAAATGAGATTTTATTCCTGAATATTTAACAGTAAATTTGATTTATGTTTTATGTTAGAGAAAAATTTTCTCATATTTTAAATATATTTTTAGTTAAATTTTTATTAAATATAAAATTGAGATTATCTAGGAGTACTTGTATATCTGATTTTTTTTTCTTGAGTAAAAAGTTCCGTTGAAGAGTAATGAATTTAAGTTTTTTTATAGTAATCAATGTATAACTAAATTTCAAATTTTAACTCAAAATACGATAAAAATTTAAAATTATTAATATTATTTATTTCGCGTTAAAATTGTTTTTTTCCTTTTAATTGAATAACGTATCGTGTAAACTTTGTTCCATTATTCATTCCCATTATATAGTTATCATAGTCACTAAAACATATTTGCTCGTGATCACGCAGGTATCCTACAGGGTATTGTAACCTCTGTATCGGAAACCGTTATTATTCGTGAACACATGCGAACGTCCATATAGAACTTTTTTATTCTATTCTATAAGATATAATTAAATGTTAACCATTTAATATAAATTACTTTGTATTGTTAGCTAACACGCAACTTACAAATCGCATGCAACATACGTGAACAGTTTATAAAAAGTCCGATGCGTCTGGTGTTAGAATTAGTTTTAAAAATAACTATTAAAAGGGGAATTTTATTAAACACTTATATTTTGGCAACATTTTAGGTCCACGAGGCAGATGCTTGCTTAGTATTAGCCAACAAATACTGTCAGGACCCGGATGCAGAAGATGCAGCCAACATCATGAGAGTAATATCCATCAAAAATTATTCAGATGACATAAGAGTCATAATTCAGCTCATGCAATATCATAACAAGGTACTTATTAGTAACATTATAAAATATCTGTCGGATATATTTTTACATTGTAATGCAAAAACATTTTTTCTATCTTAAAAGGCTTATCTCTTAAATATACCAAGTTGGAATTGGAAACAAGGTGATGACGTCATCTGCGTTTCGGAACTAAAACTCGGTTTTATCGCTCAGAGCTGTTTAGCTCCTGGCTTTTCCACAATGATGGCAAATTTATTCGCCATGAGGTCTTACAAAACGGTACGTAATTTCAACAGACTGCCAGAATTTTCGCACATTTAGGAAGAAAAAAAGAAAAACAAAATTATTCCTTTGTATTTTAGTCTCCGGATATGCCAGCCTGGCAGAATGATTATTTGTGCGGAACTGGGATGGAAATGTATACAGAAAACTTATCGCCTTCTTTTACTGGAATGACATTTCCCCAGGCTGCAGAGTATGTTCCGTGCATGTATAGTGCATCGAGTCCTTTCTTTTTCCTGTTATTTGTCTAGATTTTTCTTTTTCTTTCTTTTTTTCCTGGGCAGATTGTGCTTCGTCAAGTTGAAGTTGTTATTATTAGCAATTGAAGTTCCGAACGAAGACAATACCGACACAAAAATTGCCATAAATCCTAAAAAGAAAGTTAAAATACAAACCAATACACAGGGGTTCTTTATAGCCCAGTCGGCTGACGAGGTTAAAAGGTATTAGAAATATTGACGATAAAATCTCTTCGTGACTGAAATGTAATATATTTTTATATGATTTCCAGAGCCTGGTATTACTGTAAAAACTGTCATGAAGATATTAAAGATGAAAAGTTAATTAAGAAATGTAAATGTAAAAATCGTAAGTAGCTAAGCTTTTTATTTTATTTGTTTTTTTATTCTACAGCGATTCAGTGTATTCATATTTCCCGATTAAATATTAGGTTATGTTTCGATTATAACTTAAGTTAATTCGGTTTCCAACTTCCGCATTAGTAAAAATATTAAGCATATTATATTAATTTTATAATTTTTATTTTATCTAACATGGAGCAGTCCGATGTCCAGGTAATAGCTGCTAAGTTATCTGCTAATTGTGATGTGAGAAATGTAGAACTGTGGCTTCTTGTCTTCTTTATTCTGCTTTCGTTCATTCTTTGCTCCTCTTGACATCAATAGAATTTATTCTTTAAATACGCTAGTGTGCTTTCATCACATCAGTACTTTTATTATATTAGAATATAAAGATTAGAGCGTAGGCTTTAATATATGTTAATCTTTCATAACTTATGTTAGATGCATTTATAATGGCGAAAATTAGTTGAAGAAGCATGTACTTCTATAAAATGAAACTGTTCTCTCTTTTTTTCTTTTGTACTTTGTGATTCATTAGTTAGTTGTATGTATTGCTAAACATTTAAATGTTGTGATGTAATTCCTTGAATGAAAATTTCTGTCGTCTTCTCCTTTAGAGTGACCATTTATTACTAATTTTGGTCTTTTTTCAATGATCATTAAATGTTAAATACCTTTCTTATACTGTATAGTGATTTTATTACGTAGACCTGTAGATGGGTCTTGGAACATAGTAAAGATTTCTAATTAATTAATCATAAATATAAATTTTAGTATATTCATCATTGGAGATGTTAAAAAATGGTCACTATATAGAACTGTGTATTATATATTGTCCTCCATTTTTGTGTCGTTTTTTGTATTGAATATTTTTAGGAATTAATTAATAACTAAGATTTTTATCGAATTACTTTTAAGTATTTTTTAAGATTCATTCTAATAATTACGCTAACATTACAGTCGCACTATTTAAGAAAGGAGTGAGAGCAGTCCAAGTTGTAGGAAGAGCAAGTACGTAGAAATTGAATGGAAATTTGGTGTTATACCATTTAGACACATAGTTGTGGCTGTATGTTTATATATAAACAAAATGTATACGTGGCTTTTGTACATTGTAGAATGCCATAGTCTGCTTCACGTCAATTTTAACTATGTTTAGTACATTAGAGCGGATTATCCCAATAAATGCTGATATCTGCTATTCTGTACAAACGGATAATTATAAATTTTCTCTACACAGAACTGATATCACTTCGCATGTCGCTTTTGGTATTTTTTTCTAAAACTAAAACTATTTAATTGCTTTAATGTATCATTTTTCACAGAAATGTCGAGTGTTGAATTGTTAATTATTGCACTTAAACTTGCTCGAGTGTGTATGTGAATTGATGTTTTAGCTTTAAAAACTATTTTAGTGTCAAAGGTGAGAAATTAATCATTAAATTATTTCTGATAAATTTAAACACAAAGATTCTCTATCATGCCGGTAATTAAATACTGTACAGTACATTGAAATTAATATATATTATTGACTTATAAAAAATAGAATAATCTGGATTTTACTCATTTTAAAGTTAAGAATGTTTAGAATGTTTTTGCATGATTATATGAAAAACCAATTCACTGGAATCGACATTCACAAAAGGTAAAATGCATGCGGCATGGTAAAGAAAGCTTGGCTTTGCACATTGTTGTCACAGGCTTTGTTCTTTTGTCTCTCATTATAAAACTGCTTTTCGAATATTTTGTGTTGTATTTTGACTATTACAGACGAAAACCTAAACAACTCCACATTTCCCACTTTTACGCCTCCCGAAATCCCCAAAAGAGTAAAATTACGAGGTAATTCGATACAAATATTATTAATTGTAAGTTAAAGATTCGTAGAGACGTTAAGAACTGAAATGTAGATTATATTCCGACAGCCGACGTGACTAAAGAGCACGGAGATGGATGTGAGTGCTTCTATAATTAACATGCATAAAATTAAATGACTTTTTATCTGTAATTCAATTATACTCCTTTAAATTTTTTCATAGTCAGCAATTTGCAGTCTCAAACTAGTATGATAAGACACGGAGGAGCAAGCGGACGTCCAAGAAATACATCTAGTAGTAAAACTCGTCCACATGGTAATCCAACAACTCCTCTAACATCTCCGAATAATCGTGGAGCGGGTGGAGGCGGTCATTCCGCTCCCGGTACATTTTCCAGGTAGGATTTTTACATAAATATGCATGATTGATGTTCATCTGTACAGTACGTCTTATTTCGTCTTGTATGTCTCTGCACTTAGATTTATTAGTTAGATTTAATTATTNAACGCACTGACTCTAATACGATCGTTAGTGACTGGTGGTGCTACGCCGGAGCTAGAATTAATTTTAGCAGAAGGAGCGGGTCTTCGAGGTGGTTACAGCACCGCTGAATCGCTTACGAATCGGGACAGGTGTCGAGTGGGTCAAATTTCACTTTATGACGGTCCTCTGGCACAATTTGGGGTAAGATATATACATATATATATATATGTATACTTATGTATATATATATATATATGTATATATATATTATTTATGTATATATGTACGCGTGTATGCAGCTCGTCCACTGTTTCGTGCACCTCACCGTGGATTTTATGTATAGATTCTTCTTGACATTACACATTCTGGTTGTGCACAATGTTTCATCACAGTATTCTTCCTCTTCCTGTTCTTTTTTTCCAGTCCGGTTACGGGCACACCACAAGCCTTACGGACAACTGGTTCCAACATGTATGCTGGCTTACACCTTGCCTATGAAGTAAAAAAGCTCATGTATGCTTCTCTTCTATCACTATCATCCTTCTTCTTGCGAAATTTTATTTTTTTAATATATATATTTATATCTTTTATTTGGCTATATGCGTACTTTGGTATAATATTATAGGGTGAATTTACACCAAGGTACGCATTTATTCATGCTTTGATTGTAATTATTGCTCGACAGTGTTTAGCATGTTTCTGCTTTATTAAATTTTTAAAGAAAGAAATTATTACAGGTGTTAATATGCACTTAATTTTAACGTTAATGTAAAAAATTTAAATTATTTAAAGTTTACATAATGTTAATTACTTGGTTAGTTGTTTTTTTAGAAAGCTAAGCTTGGAAATTTGCTGAATATTGCTTGAAGGAATGCGGAATGCATGTAAAAGAAATTGGCCAATGCACGTTCAGAATTGAAATCGTCAGTTCACACGCTTTTCAAAACACTCGAATTGATACAAAAAAAAGAAAAAGAAAAAGAAAAAAATCATCCAAAGAGGAAATTTAAATGTATTGAATGGTCCAAAAATCTGTATTTTAGGGGAAATGCAATTTCGGAGGCATATTCCAATAAAACGCGAAATGTGTCCGAATAAAGGGTTTTTGGATCAAATTAGTATTAAAAATTTTTTTTATTTTTATTTTTAAGTGTTCCAAGCTAAATGCATTCTCGGCATGTTTTATATATTAAATTGCTTATTTTTATTTAACTAATTAAAATCCTTAAACGTGCCATTTAAAAAAGAGTATAAAGTGCTCTTATTAAACGGCATAAATATGTCATCCTAGGCCTACTAGTAGACCAACTGGCAGCAACGGACCAGCTAATCAGGATCGATCGTTTTCTGTCGGTCTAGCTGACGATCAGGCCAAGGATTTCGATTTTGAAAAAACCGAAATGAAATATGATTCCACGGGAATGTTCCATTGGTGTCCTGCCAGAGCAATTGAAGATTCTATTTTGGTGAGTGAAGTAAATATTAACGTTTTTTCATGTACAGAAATTAATAAATGATCTCCTTTTATTATTATTTTATTCCTATTATTTTTAAGGATCGAAATCAAGCAGCTATGACAGTTCTGAACGGACACGTGGTTGTGTGTCTTTTCGCCGATCCCGATTCACCTTTAATTGGTTTAAGGAACCTCGTCATGCCTCTCCGTGCAAGTAATTTCCACTACCACGAACTCAAACATGTGGTCATTGTAGGCAATGTCGACTATCTGAGGCGAGAGTGGAAAATGTTACAAAACCTTCCCAAAATTTCTGTACTTAATGTATGTTATTTTAGCATAAGCCAATGTCATTTGTAAATTACTGCTTACTTAATCGCAATATGCTTCCTTAGGGATCTCCTTTGAGTCGAGCTGATTTACGTGCGGTTAATATTAACTTATGTGATATGTGTGTCATCTTGTCAGCGAAGATACCCAGCAGCGAAGATCCTACTTTGGCTGACAAAGAAGCCATTTTAGCTTCACTTAACATTAAAGCCATGACGTTCGATGACACAATCGGCGTTCTAACCAATAGTAAGATAGTTATTTAATCTAATTTTTGTTTCTTTATTTCGATATAATTTTTATTTTATAATAGATCCTAGCGGTCCCGATGGTTTGTCACCCCTTGGAAGTCCTATTGTTTTACAGAGAAGAGGATCGGTTTACGGAACAAATGTTCCGCTTATCACAGAACTCAGTAAGTTAAAAGTAATTTTGAAAAATAGTTTATTTCAAGAAAAAGCAACAAATTTTTTCTGTTTATTTATAGTTAATGACACAAATGTCCAATTTTTGGACCAAGACGATGACGATGACCCTGACACAGAATTATATCTTACTCAACCATTTGCGTGCGGAACTGCGTTTGCAGTCAGTGTTTTAGATTCACTGATGAGCACAGTAAGTAAACATCATAAAATTCTGGCTTGCACTTCTAAATATATATATACATATATATTTTTTTTCTCTCCTCGTTTCAGACATATTTTAACGCTAACGCACTGACTCTAATACGATCGTTAGTGACTGGTGGTGCTACGCCGGAGCTAGAATTAATTTTAGCAGAAGGAGCGGGTCTTCGAGGTGGTTACAGCACCGCTGAATCGCTTACGAATCGGGACAGGTGTCGAGTGGGTCAAATTTCACTTTATGACGGTCCTCTGGCACAATTTGGGGTAAGTAGACAATTTTTTAATAATAATTTATGCAGTTTGCAAATATTTAACTCATTTTTCTATGTTTTCTCGTAGGAGGGTGGCAATTACGGAGATTTGTTCGTTTCCGCATTGCGCAGTTACGGAATGCTTTGCATCGGTCTCTGCCGGTTTAGGGATACAAGTTCCTCTTGCGAAGCTTCTTCCAAGCGTTACGTCATCACTAATCCACCCGCAGACTTTACACTTCTCCCTACGGACATGGTAAGTCGATTTTTTATATGTGCGGAAAACGGCGGAAAAAGTAATTTGGCTTTTTCCTCGAATGCAGGTATTCGTTCTTCTACAGTTCGATCCCGGGTTGGAATACAAACCGAATCGTGGTGAAGAGATGAAGGACGATAACTCTTGACTCTTGCACTGTAGCGCCTTGACTGATGGGCCGTACTCCTTCATTTAACGAGAACGAACCAAAATCGATATGGGGAGAAACATTTTATTTTGTATCCCAAATGCTTTTAGGTTGTCCACAACCTAAGACTCACAATGGGTTCTAAAACTGAAGAACCCTACAGTCAAGGTTGCTACAGTTCCATTACCAGCATTCCAAAACACGCACGCGCGCGTGTAAATTTTAAAGGCAGCAGCAATACCGACGCGGTATCGACTCGAATGGAGTAGATGCCACTTATATATCTATACATACTGTACATGTATATATATATATATATATGATTATACATAAACATTGTCCTTTCTACCCCTGCCGTCGGCACGTGTACAGAGATTTACACGCATGTACAATCGAAGATGGCAGGAAATTAGTCGAGGCAAAGATTGTGTTTGGAATGGAGGAGTTATCAGGAATCGAGCCCTTAACCTCCGCTCCTGTGGCGATTGTGTATACCTGTGCCTCCCGAGGACGGTGGCCTGAAACTCCTCCTCCAATCTTTGTCGGAAGTCGTGGTGTAGGGTAGCCACTACCAACCGGTCCACCGTCTCTGGTGGTACAGAACTATGTAGCACGACCGTTCAGGTTAAGGAACAACTATTCTCCAGTTCAAAGTCGCACTCGGGTTCGATTGCCGGGTTATGTTAGTGGTTACCTCTTTTTCATTTATAAACTCATAGTGGATGAAAAAGAATCTTAAGAAAAAAAAAAAACTCATTTTTCAAGCTTCTAATTCCCCGCTTCGTATTAAGAAAGATGCAATCACACACACAAAAAAGAAACTTTTAGAATTATACGGTGCTGGTTTAGCTTGAGCAGTTGCCTTCTATGTCCAACTAGTTTTAAAAATTTAGTCTTACGCGGTTTACTATTACAGTAATATAGTTCAAATAATAAGTAAGAAGAGATGATGCAGGGGAAAAATTATAGTTCAAAATGGACACAATTTAGGGCCCAGAAATGCAGATTTAGGATTAGGGTAAGGAAAGTAGCATTCATCTCATGCGGGGAGTTTCGATTTCTCTATTGTATTTCTCTCTATCTATCTCTGTTTCGGCTCAGACAAGCATCTCAAAATGGTGATCTTCAGCAGCCATTAGCTTTAACTGTTCTACACCTCCACAAATAGTTGTGTATCACCCCTCAGAATGAGAATGGGACTGTTCGTTACCGAGGTAATTTATCTGTACAGTTTGAGATGGTTACTAATAAAATAAGTCATGTTGACACTTTCACTTCAGGCTTTTCAATGTTTACATTTGATCACACACGCGTACCGAAACGGTGTTGCGTGTATTCTCGTGTCGCCATCTGGTGTAAAGAATTGTAAAACTTTAAATATCTATAACGTAAACTACCGTTTTGCGGGTGATTCAGATGACGAAGTAATGCTTCATAAAATTGAAACAGTTGTTAAATTATGACTTTACAAAACATAACACACGTATGAACCCATAAAACTAGAAGTATATAATCTTTAAACTTGCAAAATTTCAGCACCTTTATAACCATACAAACTACTCGATGGTTGAGACGTGTAACGTCCGAATGTTAGAATAATTTATAAAAATTGATTGCTCTTATCGCTAATTTATGCGATAAACTCGCTAATAATTTTCATAATTTATAATAGAGTAATTAATTAATGTAAAATTTAAATTATGGTTTTTTGGCAAGAATTTTTAATATTTTTTTTCTTATTAACTTATAATTAATCTACTTTTATATTTTTATGTTAAAAATTGCTATTATAAAAATCTGCACTTACTCAGCATCCAGAATATCTAAAGTAAGATATAAGAAATTTAAGGTATGGGACCATTTAAGTATTACGCCTCATCCCACAGGTTAGGAAAAGAGGGGTTTCGTTTGTATCTGACGGTTGTTGACGGTGAGTCTTTGATGTATGATCACACCCGTCGTTTATTTTCCCCCCAGTTATCACAGAATTGTCTGAAAATAATTCCTGAGTATTTGCGAGTGGTTTAAACTCCTGGCTTATATTATTAAAGAGTACCTTGGTTTCTGATGATTGATGACGGTCACTTGAGGGAGGATTAAATCGGGACAAATGTTTATGATGTAATACTTGAACAGCCCTATAAATATTGTGTTTGAATAAATAAGCAATTAAGAATATTTCAAAAATAAGGAAAACACGAAGCACTGAAAAATTCTTCAAGGAATTATATTGATTTCACTGAATTAAAAAATATAGAAGTCATGGAAGAATATTGAATACATTCTAAATTAATTATACTGTTATTTTTAAGTTATAAAAGTAACAAACAGTGCAAAAAAGATTTATATAAATTATTTATTGGATCATATAGTAATTAAATATAAGAGTTAGGATTTAATGATGATAAAATAATATCAATCTTGCTCCTTTGCAACATGAATCCATTTGCAATAATGACTGTATTTTATTGATTAATAATCAGTACAAATGACATTATGGAACATATAGAACTGCTATTAACAATTCTTGATTGAAAAGGATGAAAATAATACTGTAAGTTGGCAAAGAAAATGGCATTACCTCTTGTAGAAACTATTCTTGAAAGTTTTATCTCATCAATTCTATCATCCACCAAACCTTTACAATAGGTGGTTACAAAGTAAAGATTGATAACTAATATGGATTACAGGGATAATTAAATTAAAACTGATTACAAAAGTTAATTAAAATTGTAAAAGAAAGAGAAATATATTTTCAATTACTTCTTGGATAAAAGTTTAATTCAAATTATATTTGGAATAGGAAAAATAATATAGTTAGATTGTAAGAATTCTTCTACTTCTCAATTTACTATTGTATCATCCATTGAAAATTTCAAAATGATTGATCTTACATAATGAGTTTGGTATCTAAGTAAATTTTATTATGCCATCAACATTACAATGGCAAGTTTTCAAAGCTATTTTAGAAGAGAGTGGGTGCTGAATATATAAAAAGTACATTCTTTAAGATAAAATGCTTGAATGAGTATTTCTTTAGAAAATATTTTTCAGAATTTTTTATAGTGTAAGTAAACTGGCACCAAAATGATTAGTTTTGATTGATGGAACTGATAAGTTACTGATAAAATTTATTTGACAAAATCAATTTGCTTCTTCTACAATTAATATATTTGTTAGAGTGCATGTAGTTATAAAATGAGTAATTTATTATTGATAAGAAATATATTTCAATTTAGTATATAATTTATTATTCATGCATTTTTTATTATTAAAAATATAAATAAAAAATAAAATCCAGAGAATACTATATATAGTTTAAAGAAAAAGATTAAATAAGAAACTAATAAGTTTTTAATGAAAAACGTTTAAGTAAAATACTAAATTGTAGAATTTGAAATCTATTGCTATACATACTGCCTGTAATATCCAACAATAGATATAAGATTGTTTTCAAATGCTTTAAGCAGCTATAATGAAATTAGTCCCAGTTATATGAAATGTTCCCTATGTAAATTCCCATGATGGTAATGTTTTTCAACTTCTGCATTTGATTTTGCCCTTTTAATGTAAAGTTTTCACTACAGTATTGAATTTATTTGTATTCATTTTCAACTTCTTAACAGTGTGACAGAGTAAATATAAAAATATAGTATAATGAAAAAACTCCAAAAACTGGATGCATTTACTAAAATTAATACCAAAAACCTTAAATCCAATAAAAATAGAATATTTCTTAATGAAACAAATGCTCTATTTTTACTGGATTTAAGGGTTTTTGGTATTAATGTAGTATAGACAAGTAAATATAAAAATGCCACTCTGTTGGTCTTGCCAGACATCCTTTATTTCAAAGGACAATTCTTTACTTTTTTTTAATTAAACTGTCCTTACCTTTCATTGAAACTAGAAAGGATGCAATTTGTCCTTTATTTCCATTTTTTTAATGCTTCTGTTTTGTATTGGCAGTGGCAGATCCCTGTATACCAATCCATATCCTCCTGCATAGAAACAATGGGTATAGTGTCATTTCTTGTGATGGTGAAGACATAGAGAACTAAGAAATAGGAATAGAGAATCCCCCAATTGTAGGTTACAGGGAAGATGCAGCAAGTCTTAGGGGTGGTCACAACCAGGTAAAAGTTGATCCAGGGCTAAAGTCCCTGGAGAAAATTTGGTTGCATATTTTAGCCAGTACACTTACCAAGTAGCCAAGTTACTCAGTAGAGCTAGTAAACTATAATCTTGCCAGAATTTTATTTTAAACTAACAACAAATACAGACTGGACAAATAATATTAATAAGAGTATCTGATCAATCAGTACCTGTTACAATATTTGCAGAAAAAATATATATCTTCTATTTCCTTAATGGTGTTATGCCAATGCTTAGAAAGCTATGATTTACTATTAAATATTTTAAATTCTAAATTAAACTAAAATCTGTAAATATTTACAGTCAATAAGAAAACTATAATTTTGAAATCAAACTCTAAAATGCATAAGCAGAATCTTTAATTATTAAGTTAAAAAATCATTCAGTTTTACTTTTTACAGGTGTGACAGAATGGAGTAAGGAATGTGGTAGCATTAATCACTTTTAAGTGTACTTTAATCCAGTCTCATAAATCTGGCAATGCTAGCTAATCTTGAGAACTTGGGTTCAAGTCTTGATTAACTCAATTTTACGTAAGTAGCTTGATCCAGAAAATTGGACCTTCTCTCTCTCACCACCCAGCCACTCTGGCCTAGCAGAACCACAATGGGAATAGTATTCCTATTATAGTATAGCTCTCTTAGTATCCAAAGAGCAGAAAGAAAATAATAATAAATAATAGTTTTGAATCACAATTTTAAATACTAATGTCAATGCTCTAAAATGAAAACAAATATAACATAATGTATGTATTACTGGATATTATGGGACATGCCTCTCTCTCTCTCTCTCTCTCAGTATTTCTTATCTGGTATAGCAGACTTACTATTTATTTCTGAAATATTTTAGATTCTGACTTATTTCAGAAGATGGAATTCTAAAGATGGATCAGAATCAAGACAAAAATATTTTAAAAATACACCTTAAATTTTATATTTAGAGATTATTTTTTAATATTTATTTTACATAACAAAATATTCAAACATAAGAATGTTGATGAATTGTTCAATTGTTGAAATTATTGATTTTATTATTATGTGTTGGGTTTAGTGGGTTATACTCGGTACACACTGGTGGCTGTGTACTATGCCGGACCAGAGTCAAGGCATAGCAACCAAAACAAAACTAAAATTAAATGTGTGTGTCAGTGTCAGTGTCTGTATTAAGGAATTTCCTAACAATATGGCATGTATTCAATATAGTGGCCTTCTGTAGTGTGATGTATGTATTTCTACTCAATTGTAATGTTCCCAGGCTTTTGTGTAGCGTGTGTGGTATCACACCTGTACAGGAGAGAACAACAGGTACAATAACTACCCTATCCATCCTCCACAGATGCCTTATTTCCTGGGCGAGTTCTGTGTACTTGCTAATTTTTTCAGTGCATGTGTTTTGTACATTGTGAGTGTTTGGAATGGCTATGTCTATAATGTATGTGATTTTATTGTGTTTGTCAATGAGTGTGATGTCTGGTCTGTTGTGGTAAATTGTTTTATCTGTGATTATGGCTCTGTCGTAATACATTTTGTGCGTGTTATTTTCCAATACTGTCTGTGGAATATACTTGTAGTATGGTTTGTGGATGTCTGCCAAATTGTGTTTCTTTGCAAGCTCTTGGTGTATTATATTTGCTACTTGATTGTGTCTATGTAAGTAATCTGTTTGTGCCAAGAGCTTGCAACCAGAAGTGATGTGTTGTATAGTTATTATTATTATTATTATAAATTAAATATAGATGTTTCAATTATGATAGATTTTTCCATTGTCCATATTGGAAAAATATTTTTAAAAATCTGAATAAATAGTATAAAATTAAAACAATTTCTCAAATATTGGAAATAGACCAAAAAAATTATTATAAATTTTAGGAGGAACCCAGTTAATTCATATATTTGAGACCAACTATTAATCAGTTAATAAGAAAAACATACAAGGACTATTTGAAAGTAATGTAAAAGTGGGCATAACTTTTTTATTTACTGACATAGATAGTTCAAATTGTACATGTTGCTACACAGTACCAAGGCAAGTTTAAGGATGGAGCGAGATCCTATTATGGCGCCCCCTTGGTTGCCTCTAATTTATACCCTTTAATTTTCTTTATCACTGAGGCACCCCCTAGCACTTAGCACCTGGAGCAGCTGCTCCATTCACCATATGGTAGGGATGGCTCTGTTGCTACAGTAACTCTTCCTGTATACAAAAGTAGTATTCAACATAGTCTCTATTACAAGCAATGCATTTGTGCCATTGTTGATCCCAATTCTGGAATTTTCTTTGAAAAAGTTAGGTGTACACTGTTGTACCCACTTTTTCACAGCCTTTCCCCTTGTCTATTCCATCAAATTGTTGTCCCCAAAGACTGTTCTTCATTGTACTAAATAGGTGGAAATCAGAAGAGGCCAGACCTGGCTGTATGTAGATGGAGAACACCAACCAGCCAAATTTGCCAAATGCGTGATTTGTTGCCAGAAATTTATATGGTGGTGCATTGTCATGATGAATGCAAATCCTTTTCAGATTCTTGTTTAGTCTCTTCCTCCTTGTGGTTTCTCTAAGCTTCTTGAATGTCTCAATGTACTATACACTCAACACAATATGGCTGTGTTCCAGGAAAATCAAAGAGAATGAGGTCTCATCATCCAAAAAAACAGTTACCATGACCTTCTATGCTGAAGAAGAATTACTCTATTAACATGTGCAATTTGAACAACCTCTGTCAATTAATAAAAATGATATACCCAATTTTGCACTACTTTTAATACAATACCCATATTTAATAAAAAAATATAAATAGTATTCTTTTATTTACATAAAATTTCATAAAATTTACATATATTAACTACTTAGGTAATAAACTGCAGTATTTTCATCACTAACATGCTGCCAGGAATGGATCCACAGGGGTACAGAGACTTAAGCTCATCCCATTGACACAAAAAAAATTTAAATTTGTTTGAACTTCAAAACATTGTTTTTAAATACGTTTATGATAACAAATATGGTTTATTAGATCATCTGCAATACAATTATTGTGCACATATTAATAAAAGGTACAGTACTTATAATTCAAATATTTTGAATTAGGGGAGACCGGGGCAAGATCGGCATGTTAAGCTTTACTTAAATTTTGTGTAATAAATACTGCTGTAAACTGAAAAAAAANGATGTGAGAAATGTAGAACTGTGGCTTCTTGTCTTCTTTATTCTGCTTTCGTTCATTCTTTGCTCCTCTTGACATCAATAGAATTTATTCTTTAAATACGCTAGTGTGCTTTCATCACATCAGTACTTTTATTATATTAGAATATAAAGATTAGAGCGTAGGCTTTAATATATGTTATCTTTCATAACTTATGTTAGATGCATTTATAATGGCGAAAATTAGTTGAAGAAGCATGTACTTCTATAAAATGAAACTGTTCTCTCTTTTTTTCTTTTGTACTTTGTGATTCATTAGTTAGTTGTATGTATTGCTAAACATTTAAATGTTGTGATGTAATTCCTTGAATGAAAATTTCTGTCGTCTTCTCCTTTAGAGTGACCATTTATTACTAATTTTGGTCTTTTTTCAATGATCATTAAATGTTAAATACCTTTCTTATACTGTATAGTGATTTTATTACGTAGACCTGTAGATGGGTCTTGGAACATAGTAAAGATTTCTAATTAATTAATCATAAATATAAATTTTAGTATATTCATCATTGGAGATGTTAAAAAATGGTCACTATATAGAACTGTGTATTATATATTGTCCTCCATTTTTGTGTCGTTTTTTGTATTGAATATTTTTAGGAATTAATTAATAACTAAGATTTTTATCGAATTACTTTTAAGTATTTTTTAAGATTCATTCTAATAATTACGCTAACATTACAGTCGCACTATTTAAGAAAGGAGTGAGAGCAGTCCAAGTTGTAGGAAGAGCAAGTACGTAGAAATTGAATGGAAATTTGGTGTTATACCATTTAGACACATAGTTGTGGCTGTATGTTTATATATAAACAAAATGTATACGTGGCTTTTGTACATTGTAGAATGCCATAGTCTGCTTCACGTCAATTTTAACTATGTTTAGTACATTAGAGCGGATTATCCCAATAAATGCTGATATCTGCTATTCTGTACAAACGGATAATTATAAATTTTCTCTACACAGAACTGATATCACTTCGCATGTCGCTTTTGGTATTTTTTTCTAAAACTAAAACTATTTAATTGCTTTAATGTATCATTTTTCACAGAAATGTCGAGTGTTGAATTGTTAATTATTGCACTTAAACTTGCTCGAGTGTGTATGTGAATTGATGTTTTAGCTTTAAAAACTATTTTAGTGTCAAAGGTGAGAAATTAATCATTAAATTATTTCTGATAAATTTAAACACAAAGATTCTCTATCATGCCGGTAATTAAATACTGTACAGTACATTGAAATTAATATATATTATTGACTTATAAAAAATAGAATAATCTGGATTTTACTCATTTTAAAGTTAAGAATGTTTAGAATGTTTTTGCATGATTATATGAAAAACCAATTCACTGGAATCGACATTCACAAAAGGTAAAATGCATGCGGCATGGTAAAGAAAGCTTGGCTTTGCACATTGTTGTCACAGGCTTTGTTCTTTTGTCTCTCATTATAAAACTGCTTTTCGAATATTTTGTGTTGTATTTTGACTATTACAGACGAAAACCTAAACAACTCCACATTTCCCACTTTTACGCCTCCCGAAATCCCCAAAAGAGTAAAATTACGAGGTAATTCGATACAAATATTATTAATTGTAAGTTAAAGATTCGTAGAGACGTTAAGAACTGAAATGTAGATTATATTCCGACAGCCGACGTGACTAAAGAGCACGGAGATGGATGTGAGTGCTTCTATAATTAACATGCATAAAATTAAATGACTTTTTATCTGTAATTCAATTATACTCCTTTAAATTTTTTCATAGTCAGCAATTTGCAGTCTCAAACTAGTATGATAAGACACGGAGGAGCAAGCGGACGTCCAAGAAATACATCTAGTAGTAAAACTCGTCCACATGGTAATCCAACAACTCCTCTAACATCTCCGAATAATCGTGGAGCGGGTGGAGGCGGTCATTCCGCTCCCGGTACATTTTCCAGGTAGGATTTTTACATAAATATGCATGATTGATGTTCATCTGTACAGTACGTCTTATTTCGTCTTGTATGTCTCTGCACTTAGATTTATTAGTTAGATTTAATTATTAATAATTTAATTTTAATATTTAATTCCATTATGTACTTATTCATTACTTATTTTTGTTTCTATTTTATTTTTTTGTTTTTAATTTTTATATTTATTTAACAGTTAAATAGTCATTTTTGTTTGGTGCTAATATAGTTAGGTTCCATGTTTTATTTGTATTTTGAATTATTGATGACCATTAAAGATTATCGAAAGTGTTTTTGTTAAAATAAATTATTGCTGGATTACAAAGATTTTTGTTTTGAATTGAATATTTGATCACTTAAATGTTTTCTGTTATTTAAACTATAATATATTCACAGTCTCCACTTTAAAAACTGGTTATACATAATAAGAAACTCACTCAATTGATATTGGTATTTTGAATGAGATTTTTTTGTTAATATATTCACTCATTGAGGAGAAAATTGCATTTAAAGTTGGGGTATCTTTTGGATCATTCTATATAATTTATAAAACAAAATTTTAGATTTAGATTTAATTATTTAAACTCTGATGATAAAACAAAATGTTTAAACTTTTTTAACAAAAACATTAACAAATAAACTTCGTTAACAAAAACATTCAAATTAATGTTTTCTTATTTATTAATCATATAAATCCTTCAACAAAAATGTGCAACATTAAATATAAAAAATACATTTTTATAAATTGGTCTTTCATTCATATATTTTTTCATATACAGTACAAGAAATTAGTCTTTTTATTAATAATTTTGCATTTATTCATTAGAATCTCTCAATGCCATTTTCCTTAACTACAGTACTTGTTTAGATTATTATTTAATCAATATTTATCTTTGATTTTAATATGTCATTAGTTAAAATTTAATATCTTACTAAACTTATTGTAATATATTACTAAAATAGCCTGAAACATGTTATTAAAAAATGTTTAAACATTTCTAGAAACTTTTATCTTAAATCTGTTTTGATTTTAAATATGCAATGATTATATTGGTATTATTCTAAGAATTGCTATGAATATAAATTGAATTTTTGATATAAACAGTAAAAAAACATGAGATGATGTATACTGTTATACAGGAGTTGAGACGATCATTATCTCCAAGACTTCACTTAAATTATAACTAGAATCAGGACTGTCAAGAGGGAAACTAAGGATTTTTACCTGGGCCCCATAGTGTTTCTATCTCTATAAATTAATGTTATATTTTTACTAACAAAAAATAAAATATTTAAATATTTAAGACTGCTTTTTATTAACAAAGAAACATTCTCTATGTATTTCATTTGTTCAAAAAAAAAAAAAAAAACAACAACAGAAGAGGTCATTCTACCCCTGGGCCCCATACCAAACTTTTGACAGCCCTCACTAGGACCATACTGGAATTGAAGCATTAGTTGTGAGTTCTAGCTAAGGAAATTCTTTAGTTAAAGAGATCTCATACCCCTGAAACTTGATTAAATTAAAATGAGCAATTATTTATTGTGATAACATCACAATGCTGTCACGGGCTGCAATTTTTAATCATATTTTTAATTTATTTAATTAAAAATATATGTTCTCCACCTCAAATTAGTAGTAGCTTGCCCCTGTACATCATACTTTTCCTTTAACAATAGAGTCGTGCCAGTCATCTATCAACTGCTTTCAGGGGAAAAGTTTTGAATGGAAATAACATGACTTTCAGTTTGCATTGGAAGTTTGTTTATAGTTAATTAGGGACTTCGCCCTATCTTTCCATAACTGATCTCAGCTTTCATCTATCTAACTCCATTCTTCAGATAAAGGTAAAACAGACAGATGACAGTAGGAATTTATAGATACAGTATACAATTTTTTTTTTAATTGCAGCCCAACTAGAGTAGATTATGAACTGCATATCATTCTTTCTTCATAAATCAAATGAATTATATTTTTTGTTTCATTCAAATTATCAAAGAAGTACAGTATATGTATTTATCTTAAAAGATATTTTTTAAAATTAAAAAAACAGGGAGACTGTCTTGTGTTTCTACAAAATGCCAATAATATCCAACATTGACTTTAGAAAGTAGGATGACAGGATGATTCAAAAGTTGCTTTACAAAACAGATATGAAAGGACTGCTCTTATGACAGAAGTGCACACACAACATATGTGCTAATAGATATTTGTCTTGACTGCAGGATAAGTCAAGACAGATACTTATCTTGACTTATATTGAAACTAAAGAGGCTCTCAAGCTTTGGCTCCCAAATCTAGGAGGTCCTGTATAGCTGAAATTTTGAAAATTTATTTTCACTTTGTAATTTGCTACATTTGTGCAGTTTAAAATTGGTAATAACCCTGCATTTTATTTCATCCATTATTCTGGATTACAATTCCACTAAAGAGAGGTAAAATTATATTGATTTGGCAGGATCTGAAGAAAAAAATTTGTTATTCCAAATTCTTGTACATTTTTTCTTTGGAGTTTTGGGCTTTATCTAGCATCACTGTACCATAAGAGGCCCATGGCCAAACCTTATAAGACCCGTGGTTATATTAAGCAAAATTATAATATAATGAAGAATGGTTATTAAAAAATGAAATAAAATGCAGGGTTATTACCATTTTCAATTTGTAAAAGTATGCATGTATGTATAGTTATACATTTTCCTAAGACAAAAGGGGATCTATACAAGTGTATATTCAATGTAATGTAAGTCTTATCGACTACGTATTTTGAGATTCAAGTTTGCTAAAAAAATAATTGTTTTTGAAGACTAGAAATTGCATTTAGTTTGAAATGTGTTCAATAGCAGGATAATTATACAAATTTTGTTATTCTAAGTTTATATTTTATATATAGGCATATGTATGGTTACCATAACAGTTGAAGGCAAAATACAGACAGATCAGCATTAATAGTACTCAGAGACAGTGAGGCAAAATAAAACAAATTTATTCATATTTTTCAATCTAGTAAATTTAGGTATATAATATAAAGTTTCAATTTACACTTTCCTTTGGGCATAGAATGAAATTTTAAATGCTAAATATGGATTTATGATAACCCAAGGCATATGGGTCCCTAAGATGACAGCATGTTTCAGATTCTCTGAAAAGTATCAAATGACAATAAGAAAGCTTTGAAAATATTTAATAAATCTTGTTATACAGGTAACCCCCGTATAACACGGCACTTCTATAGCATGGATTCGCTCTAACACGGTTCGAGAATTGGTACCATCCCCCGTATAACACGGTACTTTTATAGCACGGATTCGCTCTAACACGGTTCGAGAATTGGTACCATCCCCCGTATAACACGGTACTTTTATAGCACGGATTCACTCTGACACGGTTCGAGAATTGGGTAAAACCCTCGTACAACAGGAAATGTAATAAATTTTTACATACTTAAGTAATAATAGTTCACGAAAATTATTATTTTC